AGGAAGGGAAGGATGCTAATTGTTGTTAAGTGCCGTAGAGTCGGTTCTGGCCCATAGTGACCCTGTGTAGGGTTTCCGAGGTGCAGCTGATGAGCTTGAACTGCCGACTTTGCAGTCCAGCACATTAACCTGCAGCACCACACCAGGACTCCAGGATGCTAATACAGGTGTTTTACTAAGAAGGCGACTGTTGTGGGCACCCAGGGAGACCGTACCTCAGAACTGTCCCACCTGAGGAGCAAGGCCATGGAGTCCCATTAGGATTGGGGGGGGAGGGGCTGCTTTTGGTGTCCACTCTCAGCACCTGTGGGTGGCACCTCTGGCCTGCCCCGCCCCTCACAGGCAAAGGCCCTCAGGCAGAGGGCCAAGGTGGTGTGAAGTGTCCACAGCACTGCTAGACTTACTAGCCTTTTCTGCCTTCGCCTTCACCAATCCTGAGGTGGGAAGGGGCAGGAGGAGATAGATCCTGCTTATTCTGTGGCCCATCCATACCTCCTAACAGTGTTGTTGTTAAGTGCTGTCCAGTCACTTCAGACTTATAGCGACCCTGTGTAGGGTTCCCAAGGAATGGCTGGTGAGTTTGAACCGCCAACCTTGCTGTTCAAACAGACCTTGAGGTGGAGTGCTCATCCTATGGTGCCATTAACAGTAGGAATTCAGAAGTAGCGAGACACTGCCTCAGCTGCAAGTGCAATTCCAGTTACTGCCATGAGATGGGGCTGTAGGTGCCGCCTGCCTGGAAGCCTTCCCTACACCAGCTGGCAGGAGACCTGTGCAGAAGTATTCCACTCTTTAAAAAGTCCTGAACTTGGAAGCAAAGCCACACCATTCACAGGCTCTGACACGTGAAGAAGGAAAAAATAACTTTTCTGTGTCAGACACCTCAATGTTGAGGGCACCTCAGGTTCTATTTTCAGAAATCTTTATTCTATCTTTAACAGCTTTGCTGTGAAGTCAGTGTTAATTGTGCACTGTGACCCCACCCCCTTCTAGAACCCAGTCTCGGTGCTACAAGATTACACTGGGGCTCCGCTCTGTCACTGGGTGGAGGTGGTAGAGGGGGGTGAAAGGGTAGTGCTGATGGCAAAACATGAGGCTGCGGGAGATCAGGAAGAATTCTGGAAAGACTTTCAAGAACTTGGGGTATTTTGGGTTTACTTCCTCTGCAGTGTCTGCTCTTCGGGTGCTTCTGAGGCAAATTCATGACAAGTCTGATGTGTGACAATTTGAGATCTGTAGGATAGCTTGCTGCTTCCTTCACAAGCCATGACGCTGCCTTTCTTTCATTCTAAAATGCTCCTGAGCTTAATCCTGGCAGCAACATCCTCTGATCAAAGAACCACTTTTCAGCCTTTCTTGCAGGAGGAGTGCTCAGAGAGCTGTACACAGAAGTTCTTGGGCATCTTTCCCCTCTCTCCCTTCTCTTACTCCTTCCTGCCTGCAACATGGTACGGTATGACTGGGGTTCCAGCAGCTGTATAGAACCACAAGGCGACCTTGAAGATAGATGACATGTGCTAAGGGTGAAGCAGCAAAACACTAACAGTGATCTTGGCATGTGATGTCTGTGCGTAGCCTATTCTAGCAAAGACTGAAATTCTTTTACCTCAGAGAAAAATAAACCATGATCTCATTTAAAGCAATGTGATTTGGGTTTTCTCTTATCTTTAGTCAAACCTCATACCAAATGAGGTAGAGTCATGTGGCCCACAAGTCTGATGGGGTTAATGGGGTGTCATGCCTTGTTTTGATTATTATAATTTGTCCTGGACAGGGGAAGGAGCCTCCAATCTTTCCTTGGCCGTCCTCTTTAGAGTCACCTGGGAGAACACCAGATCACATGTGGAGAAGGCCTGGCTGCAGCCAGAACTCAGGAGGGGGGCAAAGAGTAGCCTGGTGAGCTGCACCAGGTGCGGGGAGTCTGGAGGGCTCCAGGAAGTGGAGGTGAGGGGGTGATCACTTACAGGTGCCTGCGTGGTACTTGAGGGTGCTCACGCTGTGTCTGTGGGCCTTGAAGGTATGCACGTGTTCACCCGTGTCTGCCAGCCAGCACTTGACCGTCTTGTCGGCGCTGCCCGAGTACACATGCCGGTTCACCAGCTGGGGAGGAGAAGGGGTCAGCCCAGCAGTCATGAGCCAGGAAGTCACTCCAGAGGCACATTTGGGGGAGAGGGCAAGATCTGAATGCTGCCACTTTCCCCTGGCCATGGTACTAATCTTGCCCTCACTTGCTCCACAGGTAGAGTAGCAGCTTCCAGGGAGGCTACGCCGACAAGGCCTGCAGGTACTTACCATAGGGTAGCGCTGGCACGGCCAGATGCTAGCCCTACTATTCTCTCTATAAGGAGTCCTGCTGATGCAGTGGTTAAGTGCTTGGCTGCTAAACAAAAGGTTGGCGGTTCAACTCCACCAGCAGCTCTGTGTGAGAACGATGTGGCAGTCTGCTTCTGTAAAGATTTCCGTTTTGGAACCCCTATGGGGCAGTTCCTCTCTGTGCTATCGCATTGCTATGAGTCAGAATAGACTTGCTGGCAGTGGACTTTGTATGATTGTAGTTCTCTACTGAAGTGCAGTGTTGTATCTGAGGAGGAGCATGGAGACCACCTGTAGCCATCACTCATGCTACCCAGCTGGGAAAGGGCTCCAGGGACTGTCCCATGGGACTTATGCTTTCCCATGGGAAAGGGCAGATGGGAAAGAGAAAAGTCTGGAGAAATTCAGTGGGGCTGGGGTGTGTGTGGAGGAGTGCTTTCGCCTGAACTGGAGCTAGGTAGGCATTCAGGGTTGCCATGGGGTGCTATATACCCTGCCCACCAGCTGCCCAAAGATGGACTGGCCCTGATGGAGGTAAGATTTGAATTTACCTATGCCCATGCTCAAGGAGCTCTGGTAGCATAGTGGTTACGAATTGGGCTGCGAACAGCAAGGTCAGCAGTTCGAAACTACCAGCAGTTCCGCAGGAGAAAGATGAGGCTTTCTGTTCCCGTAAAGATTTACAGCCTTGGAAACCCTGTGCAGGGTCATTATGAGTCGGAACCGACTCCACGGCACATAACCACCACCACATGCCCATGATCCACCTGGTAGATGCAGGTGGGGACAGCCCCAGTCCTTCATAGAAATCCCCCTTTCCAAGATGGACAAGTGGACTAGATCAAGGAGGCATTTTGAGACTACTGAAGCAATTCTGAAAGTTCCCCTCGACTAAACCCATCAGCCACGAGAGCTCCTAGTTGGCAGGCTGGGCTAGCAGATGCTCACAGGGAGCCAAAGGCAGGGAGGGCCATTGCCCACTGCAGTCACATGGCACAAGAGTCCCAGAACCCCTCCAGCTTCTAGGACATGAGAGACAGGGCTGGCTGCAAGCCCCTAGGATAGCCATTAGCTAGCGCTGCTGGGTCCACGAGCTCTGGGGGCTTTGACATAGGTTAGGCACAGAAGGCCCACCTGGGGTGTCAGTCAACAGGCCCCAGTGTACACCTGTTGCTACATCCTTACCGCTGCCTGGGCCCACAACTGGGCAGGCACTCTCCCCCTCACGATGTGTTCTGGGCCACCTTTAATTTCCCATCTCTTCACACTTCTCAACTGAAATTCTAGAGGATAGGAATCCTAGCAGCCAGCTCATCTTGTTGACTTTGGGCCTGGCACTGTGCAGTGAGCTCTTCTCTGACCTAGCCTCAGGACCTGTGAAGTTTCTGGCTTGGCCCCACCTGACCTCTGTGTTTTCTGTAATGAACAGGGTAGGAAGAGGCCCCTTGGGCTTAGTTGATTTCTCAGGGTCTTGCTTCTGCTCCTGGAAGGTCTGGAGGTGGTTGTTGTTTTGTGAGAGGAATGGAAGATGGCCCCATGGCCAACATAGGGCCCGCTGGTGTGGAGGCTAATGCCCGACACTGCATAACTGGGAAGCATTCTTAGTTTCCGTCCTTGAACTCTGAAAAGGCAGCCGGCAAGTTTATCTTGAGGAACCTGGGCTATTCCACATTGTTGTTGTTGTTAATTACCATCGAGTTGGCACTGACTCATAGTGACCCTATGACAAAAGAACACAACACTGCCTGGTTCCCTGTCAATCTCACAATTGTTGCTAAGCCTGAGCCCACTGCTGCTGCCACTGTGCCAATCCATCTCTTTGGGGATCTTCATCTTTTTCTCTGACCCTCCACTTAACCAAACATGATATCCTTCTCCAGGGACTGGTCCCCCCTGATAATATGTCCAAAGTATGAGAGACGCAATCTAGCCATCCTGGCTACCAAGGAGCACTCTGGCTGTGCTTCTTCCAACACAGATTAGTTTATTCTTTTGGCAGTCCATGTACTTTCAGTATTCTCCTCCAACACGTAACTCAAAGGCATCAATTCTACTGTCTTCCTTATTCACTGTCCAGCTTTCGCATGCATATGAGGTTATTGAAAATACCATGTCTTTGATCAGGCAAATCTTAGTCCTCAAACTGACATCTGCTATTCATAAGGTTTACAGTGAATAAATATTTGGAAATAGTCTGTCTCCCTTTCTTCTAGTCTGTCTTCATCTGGAAGCTCAGCTGAAACCCATCCACCCTGGGTGACCTTGCTGGTATTTAAAATATCCGTGGCGTAGCTTCCAGAATCATAACCACATGCAAGCTACCACAGTACGACAAACTGATAGATGAGTGATGGTATTTCATATTAGCCTGAGCTATTCCACATTGTGTATAAATATGGGACTTCAAAAAGTCCGTGGAAAAATGGAAGTAAAAGATAATGGAATTCTCCCCTGAACTTTCTGAAGCCCCCTTGTACAGCTAGCTGCTCATGAAGCACGCTGGTTTATAAAGGCTCAGTGAGGACTTTGGTAGATGCCTCACACATATCACAAGTAGGAAAGTGCAAAACAACTCCCACAATTCTCACCTCCAAGCACGGGCTCTTCCTGTCAAAGCAATCAGAGGTAGGCCACAACTGCAGGGCCCTGGATGCTCACATGTCTTCAGGTGTCCCTGAAGAGGCCTTCTGGGTAAGCGGACTGCCAGTTACCCTGAAATCCTGTGTCAACCTGGATTTTACAAAGTAAAAGAGCCGAGATAGGAAACAGATGCTAACATGAGGTTCTTCTCTGGATGGAGTAGGTGAAGAGTGAGATGAGATTTCATAGACCTCAGATGTTAGTGCCCCCAGCTCCACAGCTATGCAACTGGAGGAGAAGCAAGCACATCTGTGCCTCACATTGCCACTCTTAGAATGGCTGGAACAAGGGTGCTGCCCAGAAGAGAGGAGGCTTCAAGGCATGGAACCCCTATGCAAAAAGCACTGTAGCCTTTTGGTCTTGGTTCTACGAGCAGACAGTATGTGGGGGCTTGATACTGACTAAGCCTCAGGAGGCCTGTGGTGAGGTCCATGAAGATGCTTCCTGAGCTGGACAGTGGGGAAGATATGCAGGGGACACGGAGGCTCTGTGCTGAAGAACCCCAACACCCAACCTTGTCCCAGAGTGGAAACACCAGTCTGGAGGATGAGAGACTAGAAAGTCATCAAGAATTCAATGACCAGGATTAGAAGCAGCAGAAATCCTGTAGAAGGCAGAGCAGTCAGCAGTGACAATGGGAAAGCAACATCAGAAGCCAGAGGCAACAGAAGCCAGCCCCATCTGACCAGAAAAGTGGCAGCAGAGCAGTTGGAGAGGAGCAGCTGAGACCAGTACCGAAAGCCGTGGAAACCAAGAGCAGGTCTACACAGCAGCAGGAACAGAGCCTGAGAGAGGTGAGAGGCTCAAAGTGGGGACCAGCAGGTCTGCAATGTCCAGTGAAAGAGGGAGGTCCAGAGGTTTGGGACAGTGCCCCCTGAAGGATGTTCTCCATCCCATCTCACATGGCAAAGTGGCTCAGGACCTAGGGATGAGAGGCCTCATGCAGTACTCTACTGCCCAGCATGGGGCACTCTGAGCTGGGGTCTGCCCACTGAGCCTGGAGCACCCCTTTCACGGTTTGTCCACAGAGCAGTTCTACTTCCAGAGCTGTGATGCTAGCCCAGGACTGTCCTGAGGCTGTTGGTTGAGAGCTGTATCTGTCAGCAAAATAGACAGCACCAACAGAGAGCCACCAAAGAGACAGAAAACTCGTCAGCTGAACCACAGGGCACCTACTGAAGTGTGGACCATGACGTGCCTACTCAGTGGCACAAGAGTAAACACTGGTTTACAGGCAAGATGAGCAAGGACGCTTTGAGAGAGTCTTTAGGCTATGGTGCAAAGTAGGGCATGCGTAGAGGAATCACCATTCCCTCCTGCTCAGTCTCCTGAGCCCAAAGTCAGCTGGCTCACCATGAGAACAGTTCCTATTGTTTGCTGTCTGCTTTCTGTGAGTACTGGCTTTCACTGTTACTAGCACTGTGTGTTTCTGACTTGATCAGACCAGATGGATGTAGCAACTGTGGAGGGGTTGCTGTTACTGGTTGGGGGTCCTCATCCTAGGAGACTTGTGGTTGCATGTGATCTTAGGACAGCCTCTGAGGCAACCTGCCTGTACAACACAGATACAGGAGGTCAAGACCATGCTGCACTCTTAAAGTCCTTTGGGTCTTCAGGGTACTGACCTGGGCCATAGTGTTACTGACCAAACACTACACTCAGTCCCAGAAAACTGAAGGCCAATGTCTGAGCAAATGCGTCAGTGGCCAGGCCGGACATGCAGCTCAGGGAGGAGACTGCTCAGGCCTTGAATGTGTCTGCTCAGAGCACCTGCGTGACTGCAGTGGATGAGGAAGCAGGGCCAGGATGGGCTAGAAAGCAGAGACTGGAGAGAAGGCATACACTGTAATAGCCCAAGTGGGCATGTGAGAAGAGCAATTCCCTCAGAGATCCTTATCAGCGCAGCTTGCCTGGTTAGAACAGACCAGTCACCGGCACCACGCCACACCAACCTAGCACACCAGAAGCCTGTCTGTGTATCTCAGGGGCTCCCACTCCATAAAGTAGGAAAACTGAGACCCACAGTCCGGTCCTGTCTATGTTATATGACCAGAGTGCATGACAGATCTGGACTTGTCATGACCAGATGCTTGGTCTGGGTACATCAGGCCCTACGTTTATGGAGCTATGAAGCTGTTTGTGCCCACTGCTTGGCCCAATTGTGAATAACAGCATGATAAATGAAGACTAAAGTTGTCAAAGACTTCATTTTGCTTGGATCTACATTCAACACTCATGGAAGCCACAGTTACGAAGTCCAATGATGTATTGCATTAGGCAAATCTGCTGTACAAGATCTCTTTAAAGTGTTCAAGAGCAAAGATGTCAGTTTGAGGACTAAGATGCACCTGACCTAAGCCAGGGTATTTTCAATAACCTCGTATGCAAGTGAAAATTGGACAATGAATAAGGCAGATTGTAGAAGACTCAATACATTTGAATTAAGGTGTTAGAGAAGAATATTAAAAGTGCCATGGACTGCCAGAAGAATAAACAAAGCTGTGTGGGAAGAAGTACAACCAGAATGTTCCTTAGAAACTGGGATGGTGAGACTTCATCTCTCATACTTTGGACATATTATCAGCAGGGACCAGCTCCTGGAAGGACATCATGCTTAATAAAGTGGAGGGTCAGCAAAAAAAAAAAAGAAGCAAGCCCCCAACGAGATGGATCGACACAGTGGCAGCAGTAATGGGCTCAATTGTGACGATGGTGCAAGACCAGGTAATGTTTCGTTCTGTTATGCATGGGGTCGTATGAGTCAGAACTGACTGGATAACCCCAAATAAGAACAACATAGTGCTGAAAGATAAGCTCCCAATGTACTCAAATTCTGCAGTGGCCAAAACAACAGACTCGAGCATGCCAATGTTTATGGGGATAGTGCAGGAATGGGTACTGTTTCCTTCTGTTGTATGTGGGGTTGCCATGCATGGGAGCCGATTTGACACCAAATAATAGCAAAGCTCTTTACAGGAAAAAGTGTGCTTCCTTATACAGCAGTCCCTTCCCATACCAGCTTTAGGGAGCGGTGCTCAGCCAGCTGGAGATGCCACATGGAATGTCTACTCAGAGTCCTCCTCCACACCTCTCCAACTCCAGAGATCTTGGTCACACACTTGTTGTGGTCCATTTCTTTCTTTGCCTTCCTTTTTGCTCCTTCTGCCCATCCAAAGTGCTCCTTGGAGGCCAAGGAAGAAGTGCAGCCAAAGGGCTCCTTGGAGGCCAAGATGGCCAAACCTCATCTGTCATACTTCAGACATATTGTCAGGAGGGACCAGTCTCTGGAGAAGGATATCATGTTTGGTAAAGTGGACAGTCAGAGAAATAGAGGAAGACCCCAACGAGATGGACTGGTCAAGTGGCAGCATCAATGGGCTCAAGCGTGGCAACAATAGTGCGGTTGGCCCAGGATTGGGCAATGTTTCGTTCTGCTGTGCATAAGGTTGCTATGAGTCGGTACCGACTCAATGGCACCTAACAACAACAAACAAGCCCATCCAAACCTCAAGCATTCTTCAAAGGTGCCTTCCTCCTCCACAGAGCCTTCTTAGACTACTATAGTCCTCTCAGGGTCTCTGCCCTTCTCTGGGGTTTTACCCTTGGCTCTCTAGCTACAGAGGACACCAGCTCTGTGAGTGGTCCCTTCACGTCTCTCTTCTCTTTCCATTCAAGTTGTTTTTCTGGGGTTGTTTGATTGGTTAAGGTTTAAAGGGAAAAAACACAAAGGCACAACACATAGCCAGAGCTTTGGTCTTTCCTGAGCACTCCCTCGGCTGACCCACGTGTGGTGTGTAGATTGTAGTGTGTGATCTGTGTTTGGTGTGTTGAGTGTGTGTATTCCCTGAACTCTTCCTTTTAAGTTGAATTTCAGTAGTGCCTTACTGATTCTCTGCTGGAGTTTCTCCCACTCAGCACCCAGATTCCACAGAATAACCCTGTGCAGGGAACCTGGGAAGCCCCATTAGGTCCCTGGGGTAGGAGGCAGGCCTGGGTCTGAGAGGAAGGGACTGTTGTTCTAGGCTCCTCCTCACCCCCCATCATGGCTGGCTTTTTTTCTGCTCCTGTGTTAGGTTTCCGGGATGAGGCTCCTCTCTTCCTTCACTTTCTGGGTGCCCCCACCAACATGCACCTGTCCGTCCCCTTTCTACCTCCTACAGAATGGGACCTGGGGGACCCTCTACCCTACAAACATCACCACAAATGGCCTGACCACAAACTTCTTTTAAAGTGACCAAGACCTTGGAAGTTCTTAGCTTTGTATGCTGTTCTCAGGCTACCTTCACAGCTGTTATTTGTGAATCCCACTTTGCCCCTGAGGATTTGGGAGGGCTGTTTGAATTATTAGCATATGACAGTTGTGGAAATGGAGGCTGCTCAGCCTATACAGCAGGTGGAATCTCTAGGAATAGTAACCAAGGGCTTGCTTACGTCTCAATGTCTCCCACTGGGTCACAACAGCCTAAAGCAAGCTCAGGATTACAGAAATGTAATTTATATAAAACAACTGAGATGACAGGAAAATCCACTGGGTGTCTGTGGCTCTCTAAGGTTCTAGGTGGCCTAGAGTGAGGGGTAAGATGCCCCTTCACTGTCTACTGACCCTTGAGCTGCAAGCTTCCGTCTCCCCAAGATTCACAATGTATTAACCTGATCTGGCTCCAAGTAGGGACCAGTCATGGAAGCAACTGTCAGAAATCTGCTCTTCCCTCCAACCTCCCAATCCCACATGGCCATGGTTGCCAGGGCAACCTATGTGTTAAGCTGGTAAGATCCTGCAGACCTGACTCCCTCTCCTATCACTGCAGTTGTGGCTCCCCTAAGATCACAGGTTGTATGTGCTCACCTGACCCAGTCCCCTTCTAAAGGGAAGAGGCTGGCCAAGATTGAAACCCAGCACTCCTGGGCTCCAAAAGAAATAGTAGCGGGCAGGGGCACATGTAATGGAACCCAACTATCGAGCCCAGGAGAGCACATACATGAGCTGCTTAGCAACAATAATAACTATGATATTGAGAACATACTCCATACAGGTCCTGTCTAGGTACTCTACATATCTTCTATCAATTCATTAAAGCCTCATAGCCACACCATGAGGTAGCTACAATCACATGTCCAGAGTTCTGTATCCACAGCCTTGGATATTTATCCTAAAGTAGCATAAATAAAACTGTCAGCAGCCTCACGTTTGATCAGGTTAGGCCTTGTGCCCAATCCGAGTCTTGGTGCCACCTTAAGAAGAAATGTTTTGTCAGAACTCTTTGGATCTAAGAATTTTGGACAATGGGTTGTGGGAGCAGGGGCTGGTTCTAGAGCGCTACCCTGCTAGACTGCCTGTGGGAGGTCAAAGAACAGGACAGGGGACAACTTTCCACAACTTCAGGCCTCAAGGGACAGCACCCAGGAGGCTGCCTGGCCTTGGCCAGCAGATTCCACTCCAGGTCCTTCTAGGGGCAAGGTCGGGGCTAGCAGCCACGGGGACACCTGGCACCTTTGTGAGCATCCAGGATGTTCTCACCTCCAGACAGATGACAGAGCCCTGGTGCTCCCTGAACACCCGCAGCTGCTCCCCACTCAGGATGTCCCAGGCACGGACGGTGGCATCGGTGCTGCCTGTGAAGGCTGTGTGGCTGGGTGTGTCTAGCGCCAGGCACAGCACAGCACCTGTGTGGCCACGTAGTGTCTGGTGGCAACAGCCACTGGCCACCTGCCACACCTTGGCTGTGCCATCAGTGCTGCCTGTCACCAGCAGCCCTGCAGCTACGTTCTCGTCCCGTTCATAAGGAGTGCCATGGAGATCCAGGGAGGCAGAGTAGGCCAGAGTCAGTACGCAGTTGTGGTGGCCTCGGAACTCCTGTAACATCTGCCCCTCATCTACACTCCAGCAGCGAGCTGTCCGGTCGTAGGAGCTGCTGAAGAGCTGGTTGTTGACCACTAGTATCCTGACAGCAAGAGAGAAGGGTCAGAGGTCAGATGAGTAAGCTGGCCACAGGGTTATACTCCTACTCCCCAGGGTAGTGCTCTAGAACCAGCCTCTGCTCCCACAACCCATTGTCCAAGGGTCCCTTTGGCTGACATCTTAAGTCTGGCTAATGGAGAAGAACAGATGCTCCTAGAAGATTTGCTCTTAAGTACCAACAAGTCAGTTCTGACTGACAGCAACCCTGTACAGGGTTTCTGAAGAGTGGCTGGTAGGTTTGAACCACTGACCTTATGGACAGCAATCCAGTGAAAAATAGGAACAAACTGAGATGAGTGTGTCAACCTCAAGTGAGTAGGTAGGGGGCTTTCAAATTGAGGCATCCAGGAAGAGGTGAGGTATGTGCGTGTGATCGTTATGGTTCCATGTCAACTTGACTGAGCCAGGATTCCCAGTTGTTTGGCAGTTGATAGTTAACTCTATGATGATTGGCTATGAGCAGCCAATCAATTGAAAGGCTGTTTCCTTGGGGGTGTGGCCTGCTCCCAATAGAATGGACATGCAGGAGAGACTTGCTCTCTTCCCTGCTGCGTCTGACTCTTGCATCTAGGTTATCTCCAACCTCTGGTTCTCTGAACCTGAGCCAGTGACCTGCTCTATTGTATGTTTGCCTGCTGGACTTGCCTGCTGAGTGTACCTGGAAAACTGGATGCCCACCAGAAGGCTCTGAATGCTTGTTCCTGTCACTCCAGCTCCTGTGCTCAGGGCTGCTGGTTCTGTGGTGCACCTGCTCAGGTCTTGGTCATCTGTTACTCTGCTGCCATTTCTGCTCTGTGCCCCGATGTGGAGTTCCTACCTTCTGGGCCTGCCCGCTGATTTTGGTTCACCTGGCCTGCACTTGGGACTCTCCTATGTCTACAACTGTGAGCCATTTCCTTGATAAAAACTTCTCTTTATATAAACTGCACTGGTTTTGCTTCTCTAGAGAACCGAGCTTAAGACAGTGTGCATGGGGTCTAACAGTGGCAGAGCATGCTTTCTAAACTACTGTATGTTGTGTGTGTGCAAGTTCATGCATGTGTGGGGATCCAACAGAGGTTGTTATTGCTGTTAGGTGCCACTGAGTTGGTACCAATTCATAGTGACCTTATGTACAACATAATGAAACACTGCCCAGTCCTATGCCAACTTCATAATCATTGCTACACTCGAGCCCACTGCTACTGCCATAGTGCCAATCCATTTTATTGGAGGTCTTCCTTTTTTTTTAAGTTTTTACTGTCAATTGAGTGATAGTTCACGTTGGAGAACATCGATTTTACACTCATTGTTTCATTGCAATGATTACTAGCTCCTCCATGCATCATCATTCAACAGTATTTGCTTCTATTCCCTCTGCGGTTTTTTTTTGTTTTTTGTTTTTTTTTGGCGGGGGAGGTTTGTACACGAAAACACAAGAAAAGGCAAGTATGAGCTATAGGAAACCTGACTTCTCTTTTAGTCTCTTAACTGCCATGTCTGTCTGCTTGCCTCTGGGCAGTCCTCAGCTCTCTGTACCCCAGTTGCTGGGTGGCAGTGGCCATACTGGTCACCCTTCTGGAGTTCCTTCCAGACACATCTCTCTATTCGTACCATCTCATTCACTTCTGTGAGATCCTCTGGTTTATTGCTAACTTCTACTTAGGGGTGTCACTGTCTCCCTGCCTTGTGAGGACTCTCCTCAGTGAATCCTGCTGCTCTACAGTTCCTGACACCACAGGGCTGGTCCAGCTGTCCTGATGGTTAGTCACCTCCCCATGAGAATACCCCTTCCTCTCTGGCCACCCCAGCACCATCTTGTAAAAATATTTTGTGAATTCCCAATGGCAGGCACTCACTGGGGTTGTACTCAAATGACCCTCTGGCTCATTCCCAGCTAGAAGGGCCATGGGATGGAGGCACCTAGCCTCCCCCTTGAACGGGCATTCCCTCAGGAGTCTGACAGGGCTAGTCAACCGGCACCAGCTAAATAAATAGTGTCAAATTGATCCGATCAGCAGAGGAATTTCCATTGCTCAGCTCAGACCCAAATTCAATAAGGAAAGGAAAAATCCAAACCTTCTTGAGAAGGGTGGGGGTGGGCTATTTTTGACAACCACAGGGAAAAGAGGTTTAAAAATATCCATGATTCCATTTTCACAACAATTCCCATTTTTCTCCTCCTCCACCCTGGGTCTACCATCAGTTATCAATTAAGCAATTTCCTCTGGAATTTGTTCCCATTAGTAAGAATGGCGGGCACTGATGCCTCTCCTTACAGCCAGCAGGGGGCAGCGATGCTGCTAGGGTCCCTAATAGTGATGGTGAGCACAAGTCAGTGTATTGAAGACACTTGCCCTGGAAGAGGAGCCCTGGTGGCACAGTGCCTGAAGTAATAGACTGCTAACTGAAAGGTTAGTGATTCAAACCCACCAACAGCTCCATAAGAGAAGATGTGGCAGTCTGCTTCTATAAATATCTACAGCCTTGAAAACCTGATAGATAGTTCCACTCTGTCCTACAGGGACATCATGAGTTAGAATGGACGCAACAGCAACGCGTTTGCCAGGGAGAAGTAAATGAGTCCCCCAACCCCTTATGTTCCTAACTCCTACTGCATTCTGAGCATTAGCATTGTACACTTCTGTTCTGGCCTCCCATCACTGTGTGCTACTGACCACCTCCCCTGTGTCCAGGTTTCCCAAGGACAGGGCCCATGTCCTATACTTCTGCCCTCTTGATACTGCTAGGGGGTACCCTGACTAGAGACGGAGGCCTCACTGGCTTCCCAGGAACCCTGGCCATACTGACCTATTCACGATGGACGTGTGTCCTCGGTAAATGGACAGACACTGGCCAGTCAGCACGTCCCACTTCCTGATGGTGTGGTCAGCACTGCATGTGAAGGCAGCCTCGCTCTCCAGCTGGCAGAAGGTCACATAGCTTTCATGTCCTGCAGACAAGGGGGAGACGTGAGCACAGTGTGCTGCCTGCTGAGAGTCCTCTGGGAAGGCTGCTTGAGAAGGGCAGAGAGGGAAGAAAACAGGGACCGGGAACATTTCAGACAGATCCAGAGATGACTACTCATTTTAAATGATGAGTTAATTGTGGGAGACTCTCTCAAGATGCCCTGAATCCTTTCATCCCTCTTCTGCAGTTCCAGACTGCTGGCCAGGAGTCTGTGCTGACACTTACTCCCTGTGGGCAATCTACTTACCCTTTCCACTCCTCCACTTCCTCTTCAGAAACAGGACGGTACCAATAGCTACCTCACAGGGCTGCTGTGCACACTGAGTTCTAGTGGTACCGCACATGAACGCTGTGTATCACTTGCTCTTCTTACGTTTGAGCACAGGTTCTGTGCAAGGCAGAGGAAAGGCCCCCAGAGGCAGCAGGTCCCAGTCCCTGATCACATTAAAGGATTTTGAGATGAGGAAGTTATCCTGGGTTATCAGAGTGGGCCCTAAATGCAATCATAAGTGTCCTTATAAGAGAAATGGCATGATTTTTTATGTAGCAAACCCAAAAGAATTCATTAAAACAAAGCAAAAAAACACACAAAACAAAAGACAACTGTTTGATCTACTAAATAAATTCAACCAAGCTGCAGAATACAAAAATCAACACACAAGAATCCATCTTATTTCTGATTATATTCAATGAACAATCTGAAAAGAGAATTGAGAAAACATTTCCATTTATAATAGTAGAAAAAAATAAAATGCTTAGCAATAAATTTAATCAAGAAGGCTTTTACTCTAATTATAAACCATTGCTGAAAGAAGCAAGAAGTCTAAATAAATGGAAGCCCTTGGGTGGTACAAATGATTAATTAGCTCATCTGCTAATCAAAAGGCTGTAGGTTCGACTTGAGGACATTATGCTGAGTGAAATTAGTCAGTCACAAAAAGAGAAATACTGCATGGGACCACTACTGTAAAAGACTAAGGGAAAGAACCCATACTAAAAGGGGGTGGGGGGGTTTCTTTGTTGATTATTGGGATGTTGGGGATGGGTGAGGAGAGGGAGGGGAAGGTGGAGCACAG